TATCAACTATGCTTATTAGTTCACCTAGTTAACTTAAGATTCATTAAATATATGATTATATTAATCTACAAATATTGTGTTATATTACATCGTATACATCCAATAAATTGGTACATGAATCAGCGAACGTTTCTTCTTCCCGAGAGCCTACCTGTGACAAACACCTATGTTACGCTGTTTCATGTTTTAATAGCATAAATAAGATTTAGACGGATAAAGAAGGCATTACGGAAAATTACCAAAAACAAAAATGCACTTACAAATCTCGGGCATAAAAATAATAATGAGCATATAAAAATGAAGCAATTATTTTCTATAGTGAGATGAAACGAATAATGTATCTGGTTAGGGATTTTTTGTCATTTAATTTTTATCACTCATGGCTACGGAAAGACAACATTTTCAATACATCGAATTATCAGACAATTATGTCGAGGTAGAACATACTGATAGTTCAAAATATTAAAAATAATATTTGTGTAGTTACCCACGTTCGAGAGTTTTTTTTAAGTTTTATTTGCTTACTCTATTATTTCCAGAGCTTCATATGGATATTAAGAGTATTGACTACCTTATTACTACGGTTTATGTAATATCCTGTAAACAAAAGGTTGGATACAAGTCTCCCTATTTGAGTGTTCACCCGGTTTAAAATCGTGGATCTCGAGGAACATACGAATTCATTCGACCAATCAAAAACGTGGAACTAGTTCGAGAGTCTCGTTCAGGTGGCGCGTCGACACGCCAAAACACAGCTCCAGATTATCACGCGTAGTATTACTATATATACACGACCAATCAAAAACGTGGAACTGCTTCGAGGGCCCTCCGCTAAGGTGGCGCGCCGAAACCAGAGAAAAATTGCCTTCACCAAAAACAGGCTCATTGGCAATCTCCCTACTCATCTCTGGTATAAGTATTCTGTGCTTTACTATAGCCCGTTTGGAGTGTCACCCCCCTGATATTCACACCACCGTAAAGTTAGCCGGGCAACTTCGACTTTTCGAATTTCTGTACTTGCACATCGATTATTAGTCATTTGTTATTGATTGTTAGACTAATTAAAACATTTGTTAGATAATAGTTTTTTTGCAATAACAAAAATAAATTTTAGTGTTAAGTTAGCTGAAAAATATTGATTTTATTCACAGTTTTCGTTTCTAAACGGGTGCATTCGATGTGGAATCGTTTGTTAGTCCCGAATAAACTAATAAAAACATTTTTTATATCACGGTTTCACCTAAAGTAGCGAAAAACCGTCTGCCGTCTGGCTGGATAGAATAACATAGAAACTAATTTTAAGTTTGAAATATTGTGCATATGTTATATAAAATAATTTCGGATGAGATTGAAAGAAAGAGCAAAAAATTTGGGACTTTTCGTGTTATTGTTTCAAAATTATGAATTAAAAATAAAGTTGAAATCATAAAATATGCAATTGACACCATTCATTTAACCCTTTTATAGAATTAATTTAACTCGTGACGCCTTGTTGCTGAATCAGCATTTTTGTTTCCTGGCTATATTTTATTAATGAAAAATAAACTTGAAATATTAACACTTACGAGTGTTTGACAATGAGTAAGCCTTATTCTATATTAAGGTAGAACTGGATAGATACGCAAAAATCACAAAAGTTCTTAAAAATTTTATGAAAGATAGCTTGGTAGAAGAATAATGTATGAATTATTTCAGAATTTTTCACCAAATAATTTAGTAGTTATAAATTTTTGAAATTTATAAATTTAACACGGTCGATTATGGGAAAACAGACTCTACGGGCGTTAATAGCTGCAAAACGGATAGAACTAAATCGCTGTAAATTCTGGAAAAATTATATGATGTGGTGTACGATTCGACGATTGATTGTGCAAAGTTTTATATAAATTGCCTTTATTATTCTCGAGAAAATAATTAAGTTAGGGAGGAATATCGCCTTATTATGAATTACTCTGTGCAGACGTGGCAACATTGTAGAAGAGTATCGTGATTATTCTGTCGGTAAAGTAGTGTCTACTGTTACCCACAGAATAAGTGTGAACTAACTGGGTGCTTTCCATTTACATGACTTTTGTGTCGACTTGTGTCAACTCGTGTCGACTCATGTCGACTCTCGAAAACGAATAAATGGAACACAGATACTCTCGTAAACTCACCACTTTAGCAGAGTCTTCCCGAGTCGACTTGTGTTGCCGACACATGGCGACACAAATCAAATGGAAAGCACGTTTGGCGACACAAGTCGACTTGTGTCAACCTGTGCCAGTAAATGGAAAGCACCCGCTGTAGACTGCTGCATTGCCGCGTTTAGCAGTCAATTTGTAAAATAGTAAAAAAAATATTTTAACAATGAATAAGTTACCGATAATTAAACAAATCAGTATATATTAAGTTTTGAGGTTATCAACGATAATAATGATACGATGTGAACGTATTAATTAAATTTAAAGATTGTGGGATATTTTTGTCGAACAGTTGGAACAGTCGTACAGTCACTGACAAAAACTTAAGAGAGTACACCCTAATGTCATTAAATTTGGCTTAAATTATAATTAAAAATAGCAAATTAATAGTTCCAAGTGTCCACTCATTACTAATTTAGCTATTGGTAACACTAAACATGTACTATACGATGGAAATCTATAAATACAAGATTTGCCCATTTTGGACTTATTCTTTGCCAGATGATCCGTCCATTTATACTTTTAGTATGTGCGAGTCTGTGAATCTTGTGGTAAGTTTATTGGAAACAAACTCTGAACCAACAATTATGATTCCAATAAATTTATTCATGATCTACTTATGAAGAATTCCGTATTAATTATAAGCTGTTTAAAACAAAAAAACAACATACATATTTGCCCGACAATCTTCGTACCACATTCCACGTCTTACTCCCGGCGAGCGAGGCGGTAGATAGTTTTTCGCTATTTTAGGCGAAACCGTGACATAATAAACGTCTTTATTAGTATATTAGGGACTAACAAACGATTCTACATCGAATGCACCCGTTTCGAAACAAAAACTGTGAAAAAATAAATATTTTTCGGCTAACTTAACACTAAAATTTATTTTCGTTATTGCAAAAAAACTATTCTCTAACAAATGTTTGAATTAGTCTAACAATCAATAACAAATGACTAACAATCGATGTGCAAGTACAGAAATTCGATAAGTCGAAGTTGCCCGGCTAACTTTACGGAGGTGATATTCACGCCAGACACCCTACTGTGCATACGCAACACATAAGGAAATTGTTCACACATGCATAATATAAACCTGTGGCCGCTTGTAAAAGACGTTTTCCCAACTGGTGCCAACCATATAAAAAAGAAAAAGAAGAAGAAGTTGAACCTGCGTGAAGTTGGCCGGCCAACTTTTATTTTTAAACTTTTTTTTATTCCAATCATTTGATAGTCATAAATAATAAGAATTTTATAGCCATTAGTATTATATTTGCTTACTTTCATATTTGTCAACTCCCATAAACAGTGTGATTGGTGGCTGAACCACTGTAAAATGAAAAGAACATTTCATATATTAACCACACAGTTATTATTATTCCTTAAAAATTTGTTACATCTGTTCTTTACACTACAATCTGCAGGTAAACTATCTCACCATCGCTTAAAAAATAATACACCATTACTGCATGTAATTAGTGCAATCACGTGTTTTCGGATCAACTTCTACCTGCGTGAAGATGGCCGGCCAACTTTTATTTTTTAAACTTTTTTTTTACTCAAATCGTTTGATAGTCTTGTAAAAACGTTTGATAATCAATAGTTTTTTCAGGAAATCAAAATCAAAATCAAAAACTGGTGTGAAGTGGCCGGCACTTTTTTGTTTCTAACCGGATTTTGTTTTTCCAGGGCTCAATCGATGCAAAATCGTTTGATAGTTACAAATTGATTAATAAAAACGTTTGATAGTCCATCGTTTGCAAGAAAAATGAGAAAAATCATATGCGTATCAAGGATCCCAATCGATACGATACAATCGATTCCTCATTCGGTGTATCCATTGACTTAGACAATATAACAAACTTTTTCTACTTCCAATTGTTTGATAGTCGTTCGATAGTGTTTGATAGTCTTGTAAAAACATTTGATAGTCAATAGTTTCTTTCAGATATCAGTGCCGCGATCAGATGCATCCAATGAACAGAGAAACAACGATGCGCTCTCCGCTCTCGGCTTATTTTCGAACACACCTATAGTTCTCCGGTGCACATGAAAAAGCTTCTAAAAATGGACTTATAGCCTTTCCAGGGCTCAATCGATGCGAAATCGTTTGATAGTTACGAATTGACTAATAAAAACGTTTGATAGTCCATCGTTTGCAAGAAAAATGAGAAAAACCATATGCGAATCAAGGCTACACGTAGTTAGCCCCTCATCTATAACGGATTTGAATGATTTTTTGTTTGCAATCGTTTGTAGGTCGTTTGTACGTGTTTGATATTGTATCCACGACGATTGATAGTCCATCATTTATTTATAATATTAAAATTAATTTTCTAGGGAATTTTTCTTTATGTTAGCCCCTCATTCAAATATTTTATAAACTAATCGTGTTTTGCTCATATGCAATCGTTTGTAGGTCGTTTGTAGGTACTTTATATGTCATTGATGATATGAAATGACTGATTCTTTAATCGTAAATAATGAAAGAAATTTTATCTAGGGAATTCCATAAACTGCATCTAGCGCGCATGCGTGAAGACTTCAATATGTCAAATCACATTTTACATGTACTCATCCGTATATTGTTATTAAATATTGCAATCCGAGATATCAGATATTTATTAGTGCTCTTTTGTTAGTTCTGAAATATTTACAATTGTACAGTTTAGTATTTACTATTTTATATTCATGAAATTGATTGGAATTCTCTACCAACATAAGTCAGCTATTACTTAGATTGAAACAATTTTAAAATTTTTTTAATAGTAGTAGGTACTCTTTCTTCTGCTGGTTAGGTGATTGTACAAATTACGTCTGGACACCGGTATCTCTTCTAGCAAAAAAAAGAGCAGAATTCAAGGTGCTTAGGGAGAAATCTAATATCACGCAACATATGAGTTTGGAGATGTTTTTCCTTGTATAAATTATTTTATTAATAAATACTATAAATACATAACTATCCGAGTATACTTTTAAGTACTAGAATAAATTAAATATGTATTTACAATTGTGATGGAGGTAACAGTATTTATGTAGAGATAAAGCCAACGTTCCATTCACGTTAAGCATCCAAAACAGAGTCTATTTTTCAAGAACAATTGATGATACATGTTTATCCGTTGTTAGAGCATCCACTTCTGTAAAAAAATACAAATTATGCATGACACTGTACGCTATGTACATCAAGTTCAATAAATTTATAAGAAAAATTACCTTTTGAATAAGAAAACCGAGAACAGATTACACAGTATTTCCTTCTCTGTAGATAATAACTGCTTTAAACTCTACCTCAATATCACCAGCATTCAGAAGAGATTCAAAATTTCTGCTGACACAATTATCACCATCGTCATTCGTTTGCTGCATTTATCATATAACCTTAAGAGTACTACTCGACCTTTCTTTATAATCATCCACTTAATTAACAATTTAATGAATATGAAATAGTAAATACTAAACTGTACAATTGTAAATATTTCAGAACTAAGAAAAGAGCACTAATAAATATCTGATATCTCGGATTGCAATATTTAATAACAATATACGGATGAGTACATGTAAAATGTGATTTGACATATTGAAGTCTTCACGCATGCGCGCTAGATGCAGTTTATGGAATTCCCTAGATAAAATTTCTTTCATTATTTACGATTAAAGAATCAGTCATTTCATATCATCAATGACATATAAAGTACCTACAAACGACCTACAAACGATTGCATATGAGCAAAACACGATTAGTTTATAAAATATTTGAATGAGGGGCTAACATAAAGAAAAATTCCCTAGAAAATTAATTTTAATATTATAAATAAATGATGGACTATCAATCGTCGTGGATACAATATCAAACACGTACAAACGACCTACAAACGATTGCAAACAAAAAATCATTCAAATCCGTTATAGATGAGGGGCTAACTACGTGTAGCCTTGATTCGCATATGGTTTTTCTCATTTTTCTTGCAAACGATGGACTATCAAACGTTTTTATTAGTCAATTCGTAACTATCAAACGATTTCGCATCGATTGAGCCCTGGAAAGGCTATAAGTCCATTTTTAGAAGCTTTTTCATGTGCACCGGAGAACTATAGGTGTGTTCGAAAATAAGCCGAGAGCGGAGAGCGCATCGTTGTTTCTCTGTTCATTGGATGCATCTGATCGCGGCACTGATATCTGAAAGAAACTATTGACTATCAAATGTTTTTACAAGACTATCAAACACTATCGAACGACTATCAAACAATTGGAAGTAGAAAAAGTTTGTTATATTGTCTAAGTCAATGGATACACCGAATGAGGAATCGATTGTATCGTATCGATTGGGATCCTTGATACGCATATGATTTTTCTCATTTTTCTTGCAAACGATGGACTATCAAACGTTTTTATTAGTCAATTCGTAACTATCAAACGATTTCGCATCGATTGAGCCCTGGAAAGGCTATAAGTCCATTTTTAGAAGCTTTTTCATGTGCACCGGAGAACTATAGGTGTGTTCGAAAATAAGCCGAGAGCGGAGAGCGCATCGTTGTTTCTCTGTTCATTGGATGCATCTGATCGCGGCACTGATATCTGAAAGAAACTATTGACTATCAAATGTTTTTACAAGACTATCAAACACTATCGAACGACTATCAAACAATTGGAAGTAGAAAAAGTTTGTTATATTGTCTAAGTCAATGGATACACCGAATGAGGAATCGATTGTATCGTATCGATTGGGATCCTTGATACGCATATGATTTTTCTCATTTTTCTTGCAAACGATGGACTATCAAACGTTTTTATTAATCAATTTGTAACTATCAAACGATTTTGCATCGATTGAGCCCTGGAAAAACAAAATCCGGTTAGAAACAAAAAAGTGCCGGCCACTTCACACCAGTTTTTGATTTTGATTTTGATTTCCTGAAAAAACTATTGATTATCAAACGTTTTTACAAGACTATCAAACGATTTGAGTAAAAAAAAAGTTTAAAAAATAAAAGTTGGCCGGCCATCTTCACGCAGGTAGAAGTTGATCCGAAAACACGTGATTGCACTAATTACATGCAGTAATGGTGTATTATTTTTTAAGCGATGGTGAGATAGTTTACCTGCAGATTGTAGTGTAAAGAACAGATGTAACAAATTTTTAAGGAATAATAATAACTGTGTGGTTAATATATGAAATGTTCTTTTCATTTTACAGTGGTTCAGCCACCAATCACACTGTTTATGGGAGTTGACAAATATGAAAGTAAGCAAATATAATACTAATGGCTATAAAATTCTTATTATTTATTTAGAGAAATCTAAATATTTCATTAAACAATGTGAAATTATTAATAAATTTTATAATTGTACAAAAGCCTTTTTCTACGTTGTTTATTGCTTCAGACGAAAATCTTATTAAATGGGGATGGCCAGAAGACGTTTGGTTTCATGTGGACAAATATTCATCAGCCCATGTATATTTACGGTTACAACATGTAAGTAATTTATATTTTAAAATGTTCAAAATCTATACATATATTGCATATATAAAACGATAAACATTACTTTTAGGGTCAAACAATAGATGATATACCCAGCACAGTTTTAGAAGATGCTGCACAGCTGGTAAAAGCAAATAGTATTGAAGGGAATAAAATGAATGATATTGATGTGATATATACAATGTGGTCCAATTTAAAGAAAACACAAGGTATGGAAGTTGGGCGGGTTGGTTTTCATAAGGAAAAAGATGTACGTAAAATACATTTGACTAAGCGTGTAAATGCTGTTATCAATCGGCTAAATAAAACGAAGAGATCAGTGGAACAAGTAAATTTAAGACTAGAAAGAGAACAACGAGATAGAAATGAAAGAGAAAATAAGAAACAAATATTAAAAGAACAAAAGGAGCGTGAGAAAACAGAAGAAAAAAAGAAACAAGAAGAAGCTGAGATGAGGTAAAATCTATTGCTATACTATTAACTCTGTTAGACATATAATATGTGATGGTAAACCATTTGTTTGAGAGAATTTGTATTTGAGCTGTCCATGTAACTTATTTTAACTCACTGATCAACCAAGTATTAAATAATTGGGTAAATGTTTTTGTATTATTAAATACAGTTTAACAAATGTATCAGTTCAATTACCTAGATTCAACAAAATCAAATTTTAGTTTATTTCATAATTGGTCAACAAATGTAAATGACGCGTCAAAGCTAGTGACTAAAATTCTGAAGTGTAAAGGTATTAATGGACCCTTTGTAGTGCAGTTTGGAGAAACATGCGACTAAAATATATCACTAATTGGCTGAAACTTTCTTAACAAACAATTTTGATCAATTAAGGGTCTGGTTATTCGAGTTTTTTAACAAGTATAACTAGTTTGTCACAATTTGGGAAAGATCTGTCGTGACTTGATAGCTTCAGTCGAAAATCTTAGAAAACGAGTCTTCTAAATGGTCAAAATAGTTGAATATGAGAATTTTACCCAATCAAGGGTCTCATTTCATGCAACTGCCCTAGGAAGGCTCTCGTTCAAATAATCATACGTGTTGAAGTACTCAGGAACTAGACTTCTCATCATCCAGATTCAAGTTTTCTGACATGTACGACTAGTCTAACGAAACAATGAAGGTGCTGTGAGAGTCATTTTACAATAAAATATTCTACATTAATGGTTATCAAAAAATATGCTTCTCACAATTTCTATAAGAGAAGGTGAGACAGATTCTAATTTAGATATTGAACTTCAGTGTAAACCACGGCCAACGGGATATTCGGTAGGAGAGTTTAGCGTGAATCGTTTTTGCAAGTTAATCGATACAGCCACAAATCAAAGGAAATGATTCATGTAGCCTTGTAAACAAAATTTAAGAATCCATTGTGCATACGCTCCAGTTAGACAAACGTAAAACTAAACAAATATTCAATGGCTATTTCAACTACAAGTTGTATTAGTAAGACTACATGTACAAAAAACAATGTATTCTTAATACAGATAAAAATTTATAACAATGTATTTTTAACAATCACTTTGTTATACGTTTTTTTGAAAACCATTTTTTTATTATTTTTAAAAATTAATATTCATACATTAAACCGATTTCAATATTGCTAAAGCTTTAATTTTATTTTTCAGAAGATTCTCTATGAACTAACTAAATCACATTTTTTGTTTATAGCTTCGTTGATCATTTGATGTTTCTTATTGTACAGTACTACCTTGTTAGAAGCGAATTTCTTCTTCGTTCTGCCTGGCTGAACTTTATTCAAATGCGCGCCAGGCGCACGTAACTGATACGGTCTCTCGTTATAAGCAACAAGCAATTGCCTAAGAAATCTTACGTGTTTAAACACTACATTTTTTCTATTTAAGTTTATACGAGAGATAATTGAGAAAGGTTTTATATGCATATTATTACTGTTGCGTATATACATATATACTTAAGAAGCGAGAGTAAAATCAAAAGGGGATTTAAATTTCGTGTGTATATGTTTTTTCACAAATATTTATAGAATAGATGTAGCGGAATCTTTATTTTTTGTATACTTACCATAATACCGAGCTACGCTGCAGTGTGTGATGCTCACGGGCACCACTCATACCCGCGCCATTCCAGATCTTACCGCACAGTAATGGGTGAACGCTCGAGCGACAAATTTCTTAGAATCCTGTTCCTTTAATCCCCCTAACGTTTTCTTCTAACGAGGTGATTCTGTACATATGCAGTACCATTTTTTGGATAATATATTTTTTAAATCTTGATTTAGTGTATTGCGTGTAAAAATTATTTGGAAAATTAGTTCTCTGAAAAACGTATTAAAGCGATTGTGTATATTGTATTCGTGGTTGTTAATTTTTTTTATATTACATATACGTTTATGGTTGTTCATTTTTATATTTGATTGACTGGATTTAAGAATCCATTGTGCATACGCTCCAGTTAGACAAACGTAGGAGTTTACAACTCCTACATTTGGAAAATCACTATCAATAATCTTCCCATTAGTATAAGTCTAAAAGTTGCTATATCCAAAGATACGTTTGGTACAGTCCCGTCACGTGATCGTAAAAATGATAAAAAGATTAATACAAGTGCAAAGCATGATATCGACGTTAGCAAAGCTAAATTTGAGAAAAATCAATATGCCTCTGACATAAGAAGAAATAATAGATGCGAAATTATTTGTAGTGAAACAACAAAAGCGTTGTTGTTCAGAGGTCATATTTTGTACCATTTTTCCATATAAAAAAACATCACTTATTTCGTTTCAATATCATATAGCTTATTTTACTAGTTTTAAGATTTACTGTGGATCTACCGAAATAGGTTTTTAATCAAATTTATGGTTGATAAATATGTGTTTTTACTATGATGTCACAAAGAATGTTTTTGGCGATAAATTCTCAGTGAAAATGGAGCTAAACAAAAAATCTATTCTGACGGATCTCTAGAGAATCATTTAATGAATAAGATATAGGGTGATCACCAGTGAATGGACAGACTCTAGTAAATGGACAAGTTTACGTAAAGTATATGTGGGTCATTGTACGTCAGATTTAAAACCAAATTTTTTATATTCCTGAAAATTGTTTCCTTTGTTCTTGAGGGGGAAAAAAATAACACGTATTTTATTATTTCAATATGATATGAAGAATTTTCGAAATACCGATTTTTTAATTTATCGACTCCACAAAACCGGTTCTTCTTTAAATGTATCGTGCATCGTCCACCTTTCGATTAAAAGCGAAGCAATGCAGGAAAAAATGTTCAATAGGGTTCACATTAAAGACCAAGTTTTAATGGTCGAAAATTCGGTCGTTTAATAATTTTTATGCAACAATTTCCTTAACAATTTGTATTATTTCAAAAAGGGCATCTTCAAATTAAATAATTTGTTCTGTAATTTGTTATTATAGTACAGAGAATATTGTCTGAAAATTTGAAAATGGACCGTTAAATATTTTTTAAAATAAAATTCATAATATGTGACCGCACTCACGATTCGCGCGCAGGCGAAGCACGGATTTGAACGTGCTTAGACATTTTCGAGTTATCCTACTATCCTTTGATGGGTTTTTCATCTAGTTCAGATGAATGATACTCAGTGAAATGTTAATAGGTTCCAGAGTAACACTGTCGAATCGAGAAATGGTCGTTTACTTTAATTACAATACTGATTACATTTAACTACATATTGCAGAGCGATCAAAGTCTTGTTTATGGTAACATATTGTTGAAAAATGCATTTACAAAACATTAGTGATAATATCTGATTGTAAGAAACATGACTCGGGGGCAGTGTTTGTTTTTCTTAAAGCATTTAACGATTATCTCTTAAACTTTCGTCCAATTATAAAGAATTGTATTTATTTTTCTGATGGAGCTCCTCAACAATTCAAAAATTCGAAACACTATTTAACTATATATTACCATAAACAAGACTTTGATCGCTCTGCAATATGGTATTTTCAAGCTACAGCTCACGGCAAGGGTCCTTCTGATGGAGAGGGTAGAACTTTAAAAAGATAAGCAAAGAAAGCCAGTCTTCAAAGATCTTCCAATGATCAAATAACGACCCCATTGGAGTTCTACGAATGGGTCCACCTCCATTCTACGTTATCCAATATCTCTGTTGCCTACGAAACCGAGAAATTTTACGCTGAAGCAGCTAATTGTTTGAAAAAACGTTTTGTTGATTGTAAAACAATACCAGGTACGCAAAAAATACACTGTGTTGAACCAGTTGGGGATCACGAATTAAAAATAAAAAATTATTCTTGTTGTTCCACTTTCAAAACCGTCAGCTTCTGAGGTTCGCATAAGAAAAAAAAGCAGTTTCTGAAAAAAGATTTTAAACAGTGTAAAATTATTCAATAATATTATTTTCTGTATTATTGTATGTAAATCCGTTTTGTAATTAAAGTAAATGATCATTTTTCGATTTGACAGTATTACTCTGAAACCTTTTAACATTTCTCTGAGTATCATTTATCTGAACTAAGTGAAAAACCCATCAAAGGATAGTGGGATAACTCGAAAATGTCCAAACACACTCGAATCCGTGCTTCGCCCGCGCGCGAATCGTGAGTGCGGTCACATATTATAAATTTTATTTCAAAAAATATTCAACAGTCCACTTTCAAATTTTCAGACAATACTCTCTGTACTACAATAACAAATTACAGAAAAAATTATTTGATTTAAAGATGCCCTTTATGAAATAATACAAATTGTTTAAGAAATTGATGCATAAAGTTTATTAAACGACCGAATTTTTGACCATTAAAACGTGGACTTTAAAGTGAACCCTATTGCACATTTTGCCCTGCAGTGCTTTGCTTTTAGTCGAAAAGTGGACGATGCACGATACATTTAAAGAAGAATCGGTTTTTTGGAGTCAATAAATTAAAAAATCGATATTTCGAAAATTCTTCATATATCGAAATAAAAACAAATACGTGTGATTTTTTTTCCCCTCAAGAACAACGGAAACAATTTTCAGGAAAATTAAAAATTTGGTTTTAAATCTGACGTGGAATGGCCCATATACAATATACATATACCGTGATTTTAACACGGGTGTCCATTCGCTGGAGGCGTGGCGGCTGCACTTTTGTTGCTTAATTGTAAATAATTGTACAACTATTATTTTTGTGTTAGCAGCACATCGTTTCGTCTCAAACTTAGCTATCTCAGCGTTAGTTTCATGCCGTATATATTTCTTAAATCTTGTTTTCATTATTACCCTTACATGACGGAATTGTATTCAGCGAACTTTCTTTAACATTATGCTAACAATAATTGATGAAAAAAAACAAGGGAACAACGAATTTTTCACTGTTATTATTACATGTTCTGAGTACATGCTCGGGGTAGTTCTAGCACGATGAGTCTTTTTCTATTGTTGTTATTATGAGAAAAATATCAGAGTGTGCCCGAATATGTATTCCGAAATGCATAGTCCATTCCAGTTATTCAAGTCTAGTCAATTAATTGTGCTAATTTTCTTATATTAATTTGTTTTTATTACAAAAATGAAAGCGAAACCTTTCAAAAGTTAGATATTTTTTCATACACGTAAATTAATGCCAGTGATAATGCTATGAAAGAGACTAGACTTTTTTTCATTTTTTTTTCAGGAGCTATAATTCATTATTCAACAGCACGAACATGACTTCGAACACGGACAATACAGGTTATGATTCAGATGACTTCATGTGATAAAGTTGAAGTTTCATGTGTGCACCTAGTTAAAAATCTTGTCTAAAATAGGATTCATCCCTATTAGCATTGATATTGAAATGAAAATATAATGCCAGATAAATGATATCAAACTGTTTATTCTTAGTCTTATTTTTAAATGTTTTTGGGGTGTTATTTTTCTGAATATTATGCGAAAATATATTGTCCGTCTACAAGTAAAACATGTTTATTTGACAAATCGTAAACAACTTAATCGTTAGCAAATCATACGTGGCTTTCTATAAAGACACGAAAATATATGCCAAAATAGGAAAACATATTCCAATGCAAAACCATGCATAAGTATACCTTGTAAACAAAATTGGATGCAAAGTGTGACTTGCTGGACCTCATTGTTTTTGATCTATTAAAAAAAAATACATGTCACTCCTGAACCAACTATATGCAAAATTATTGCGACTAATAAATTAGAAAAAAGTTGCAATTATTAATCATTTTGAAACTTGTGCTGAATTGATAAACACAATTTTACTTTTGTTAACGTATGAAAAGATTAAAATAAAACGTTAAAATGTTGCTTCAAACTTTTTACCCATTAAGCATTATCCTCAATTATAACTGATGTAATTATCGATATATTTTTCAAGCAGATTTGCAGTATAATACAAAAATATCATGTGTCATTTTCAATAAATAAAAAACATCTTAATATTTATAACATAACTAATACATTTGTTAATTTAAAATGAATAAACACGTAAATATTTCAGATAAATTCTTTCAATGAAATATACTATGTTTAGCTGTTCACCTTTCTTACAATAAATTTAAATACATATAACTATTGATAAAATATACTTTATGCTAAATATATATTTACTGCCTGTAAAGCATCAACTATCCATGAAGGATACTCCTTTGTTGGATACACTTTTAACATAAACTGTTGAACAAACTGTGGAAATTCGCCTTTCTTTATGCTTTCTCTAATGTTTTGCATTAACCTCATTTGAAATGCAATGTTATGAACGCTTAATAAATGACACCCCACTGTTTCCATCGTTACGATTTGGTGAAGATACGCTCGAGAATATGTTTTACAAGTACTGCAATTACAGAATTCGTCTATCGGTGCTGTATCATTGCCATATTGACCTTGTTTCAAATTGAGTTGACCAGTTAGCACTAAAGCGCATCCAAACCGCTGAAAACAGTAATCATTCATTTTTAAAGCTAGAAGCGATTGTATTTCATAATCGTAGCACGTTGTGATCCATCAATACAACGAATTTGTGATAATAAAAAAGGGAAATAAATCCAATTTTAGAGTCTTGTTAAACGTAATAGCTTTATGATAGGATAAACGTTTTGTAGAGAATATGTTTATAAGTTTTTCAGATTCTTACCGCTGTTCTTGTTGGGAATACGCAGTCAAACATATCCACACCTAATGCACTGCAAACGATTAAATCGACAGCAAATCCTACACCCATTAAATATCTAGGTTTATCCTTTGGAAGTATATTAGTCGAGACATTTACCATTTTCCAAAAATCGTCTTTGCTCTCACCGCCACTGTAAAATTAATTTCATCTTTTATTGTTCTTAACTTTCAGACTGTCGCAAAACCCCCTTTGGGGCTCTCAATATTTTCGAGATTGTGAACCACTGATATCATATCATGCATACATTTTTTTTAAAAAAAGCATTATTTTGTATGAAAAATTAGCAGCAGTCTAAAGGTTAATCAGATGTGGTACACACTAACAAAATACATAATAATATGGCTGGATAAAAGAAGTTAATTTTATTTCTAAAGACAAAACTTCCCCATTTATATAATTTTTGTTCAATAACTGTGGAATACGAGAACTTTATGCAATTGTATTTTTATGTGTCGAACTTTTCTATACCAGTGATATCATAATCGTGAATTGGATATACTAAGAATAATGTTATATATATTGTATATTGAACATTTTTCCATATTCAAATATGACAGTAGCTTGGCTCATTCTAGAGAACTAATTCGTTCTATTTATAATTAGTGCATGCATTCAACGTGCTTTTGGACAGTTTGAAAGTAATGAAGTTTCTAGCCAGCTACACATGACTCTACAAAGTTATAATTGCAAAGTATTCATGTGCATGACTTTGCACTGAATATATTGAATTTTTCTATTTCATCATACATTAGCGTCATTTTATAAAAGCCACATGTGAATAGCTAAGTATTGTATCGCTTGCTTGAATTATCAAAACAGAATGAGCTCATAGACTGACTATATGTTTCATTATAGGTTGATCCAAAGGGCTTTGTTGCAAAGTGCTTTTAATGTTAAATGTTAATATTTCCGCTTTTATATCAAATTATTAAGCGAAGATGAAAACGTACCTTAATCCTCCTATTGCATAACCATTTACTTTTCGCTGTGTTAATTGAAGACCACTTTCTGATCTAAGTTCTGCATTTAAGCCTCCCTGCATAATTGGAAATATACTTTGTTCATTTGGTTTTTGGTGTGTAGAAAGGCATCGATCTAACCATCTTGTAGTTCTAAAATAAGTATACACTTTAATATTTAATTTTATTCTTTTACACTGATACACTGATAGTTTTTTGTACTTACCTATGCATTGCCTCTTCAACTCTTGTACCTGTTGTAGTTGTTTTAATGACATCATCAAGCTGCATTATTATATCAGCACCAATCGTATTTTGAATTTTAATGGAGTATTCAGGTGTCAACATACATTCACTGTCTATAAAAGAAGTAATTGTTATTTTGTTAAAGTATGTAATGATTGGGCATGAGTGTTTTGCTATTTTATTAAATAATGATCTCTTGCACACAAGTTATGTATATGTATAAAAAATATATAATAAAATTTAAAAAATAATGTAATAAATTTCAAAATACCATCATATGGTGATATGAACTTCACACCCTGTTCATTAATTTCAGCAAACTTCAGTAAAGACACCATTTGAAAACCACCAGAGTCAGTCAACAGAGCTCTATCCCAATTCATGAATTTATGTAAACCTCCTGCTTTCTGTAGAATGTCTATACCCTGAAATATTAATAATGACATATTGGTATATATCTATAAAAATATTAATGTTTAATGTTTTATTTCCATTTTTACACACTGGTTTAGTTCCCAGGTGATATGTGTTACCAAGAATTATTTGACAATTTAATTGCTTCAATTGCTCAGGCAATATACCTTTTAAAGTACCCTAGAAATAAATTTAATATGCAATCAATAAATCTGGTGCTGCTAAAGCCAAAACGTATGTGTATAGACATAACTAACCTTAGTTCCTACTGGCATAAAAACCGGTGTATCTACAGTATGATGTGGAACAGTCATTTTACCAACTCTAGCTTTAGTTGTTTGACATTCAGTAATTACTTTAAAAATGAGAGCTGGTCGTTTTTCTGACATCTGAATATTCTGAATTTATGTGAGCAAGATAAGTTTTATACATATATAATTACGAGTTAAGGTTGTTGTTCAGCTCGTTGAACTATATATACAATATACATATATCGCGTGACGTCACAAACGAGGAAACGTATTTTTCGTTTTTCTTCTTCACTTCTACATGATTTATCAAAATCTTTGATAAGCCCGCTTAATTACGACATACGGCTGGCGGCTTTTCTCGATTTAAGTGCGAAAAATTTTTTAATTTCTAGAAAATAATACGTAAAGAAATCATGCATCTCTGACCTGTCAAAATACCCGTTCACTAAGGGTATATTCCGTAATTGAACCACAATTGTGGTTATTAAACTGCAGCCAGTGATATCGATTAATTTTTGTCAGCAGTCGAAATCAATCGATGCAATTGGATGAAAATTAATAACCGCAACCGTGGTTCCATTACGGAATGTGCTCTAAAATACATTTTTCTCGTAATCAGGATACTTATCACAGAGCTTATCATACTTAAGGCCGAAGCACATAAAATTCCATAAGCCATAAGCAGAATGCAGATACATAGCGCATGCGCTCTTCAAAATGTCGAGTTAGCAGTACGCGTGCGCCATGTCTTCTGCATTCTGCTTATGGCTTATGGAATTTTAACCCACATAAAAGTCCATAGGCTATAAGATCATTAGAGGCATAAAGTGGCATCAACAGACTGTAATAAACGCAAACAAGAAGTGAATAGCATCGAAATATTCTACAAAAAATTGGGTAAGTTCAACAAAAAGTTTTAAAACATGAGACATAATTTCAAAATACTGCGTTGCAGAATTGAAAGAATTTATACCATTACTTGTATGTAGTCATCGACATTATAGAAGCTTTTGTTAGATTCAACGTTAGATAGTGAAAATTCTCATGTTTTAAAACTTTTTGTTGAACTTACCCAATTTTTTGTAGAATATTTCGATGCTATTTACTTCTTGTTCGCGTTTATTGCAGTCTGTTGATGCCACTTTATGCCTATAATGGTTCTATGGACTATGGACTTTTATGTGGGTTGAAATTCCATAGGCCGTAAGCAGAATGCAGAAGTCATAGCGCACGCGCACTGCTAACTCGAAATTTGAATGCGCATCTGCATTCTGCTTATGGCTTATGGAATTTTATGTGCTCCGGCCTTTAAGCCGAAAAGAGCCGCCTGTCTATGGATGACACAAAGCAGGTTGATCTAATAATTTTGTCAATAAATTTCTAGCAGATACAAAAAACGACAAATTGAAATGGGCCCGTATTTTACTATCTCCAGAATCCAATAGATGGCGGTAGCTATTCCTTGTTGTTACGAGCCACTCGGTTGGTTGCCGGCTCGCTTCTAGCTGTTATTCCCGTTGCTCGTTCGTTTCACTGCCTAGCGAACAGAAATATGACGCCTGAGATCCGAGAATGAGCGGGATATTAAAACACTAGCCTTTATGTTTTCACCAAACAGCACTGAAGTCTTTTCTTTTATTATTAATAATATGGAATCGTAATAGTGATACACAAATATAAATCTTTCTACGTCCTGAAACTGATTGCACCACCTGGTACAAGGTTAGTCTTATAACTCTTCGTCTGATGTGACCCGATTGAAGGAGTTGAGAAGACTGCCCGCTCAACGTCGTGACTCGAAAATTGTTTCTATTTTTCCCATAGTCTATCTAATAGGAAAAGAGTGGGGAGTAAACGAGGGTAAATAAAGTGAAGCGGGCGTAGAGCGGGTGATCCCGCAGCCCCGATGGTCAAGGGTCGGTTCGAAACCCTGGAGGCCTTTCGTGAGATAAAACAGGCATTTTAACCCTTGGGTTCCTTCACGCGCGCTTCGAGACTTTTTAAGAGTCGTAAAACATTTGGCGAACACTTGAATATGGTTCTATAGGAACAATCTCTGAGCAGGGCTTGTGAAATATTTCTCATTGTCTAAAGGAAAAGTGAAATTCGAAATCTATTCTTAATCTTCGAGTCACGTCATTTTATAGGCATTCGCATGTTCCTATAACAATATGTACTTTTAGAGAGTCTACTAAACCTAGAGGGAACATTGAACTTGGCATTTTAACCGTACGTTAAACAGGTATTTTCTAGAGGCGGATGTGTCCATTACCCTAGGCCTGCCCTCCAGATTTTTACCGTTCTTCGCATTTGCCCATGCTCTCGGGGAAACCAGGGAAAACCCGAGAGAAGAACAGACGCTTGATTAATGAATTATTTCTCTTAATATAATGCTTGTGACTTAAGGCTACTCTATGTTTAAGATATACAGGGTGTTTCGAAACTACCTGACCCGGTGGGTATGGCGGTGTTCGGGAGGCTTCACTGATCACGAAAATGACCTTCTTTTTGTCCGGAAGGTCATAGTTTTTAAATGGAAGCAGGTCAAATTTGACCAATCAGAGGGAGGCGTCAAGAGAAACGTAGGCACCTACGAACCCTGAGTTTTCTTCCCTCGCTTTTGTTTCTCGGTGGCTATGGGCAGACTGAAGCCAGGCGAAGCCATGCCTATTAGGTATCACTCGCTGAGGACAGTCATGCACTAACTGAAAACTGCAATATCCTACGATAATGTAGGAAATATTAAGATCTGTCGCAGTAGGTAAATCCTAAATCTCTCACCTACAAGTATTGCGTAACTTGGTGTGGACGATAAAAGCGTTACATGTATCTACTTTTCTTGCTCAGATCCCATACTATGTCAGCACTAAATACTTTTTATGCTTCTCTAATTTAATTTGACGATTAATGTTATTATTGCAAGACTGAAGCGTATTATGAATTCCCCGATGGAATACCCATTTCTTGAGGAAGGAGTGTTCAGGAAAAGAAGAGTCTATGAAAATATGATGGCAGCGTACGCTGGTACCCAGGTGGTGTCACTCGCTTCTTTTCCTGAACATTCCTCAAGAAATGGGTATTCCATGGGCGCATTCATAATACGCTTCAGTCTTGCAATAATAACATTAATCGTCAAATTAAATTAGAGAAGCATAAAAAGTATTTAGTGCTGACATAGTATGGGATCTGAGCAAGAAAAGTAGATACATGTAACGCTTTTATCGTCCACACCAAGTTACGCAATACTTGTAGGTGAGAGATTTAGGATTTACCTACTGCGACAGATCTTAATATTTCCTACATTATCATAGGATATTGCAGTTTTCAGTTAGTGCATAACTATCCTCAGCGAGTGATACCTAATAGGCATGGCTTCGCCTGGCTTCAGTCTGCCCATAGCCACCGAGAAACAAAAGCGAGGGAAGAAAACTCAGGGTTCGTAGGTGCCTACGTTTCTCTTGACGCCTCCCTCTGATTGGTCAAATTTGACCTGCTTCCATTTAAAAACTATGACCTTCCGGACAAAAAGAAGGTCATTTTCGTGATCAGTGAAGCCTCCCGAACACAGCCATACCCACCGGGTCAGGTAGTTTCGGAACACCCTGTATACATATACTGTAACCTATACATCCTAGGATATTCGTATCGCGGTAATAATAAGATCCCGCTAACCCGAATAACCTTAACACTAAACCTACCAGAGCGGTCAAATGACCGCTTTTGAGACTTTAATCAAAATTGTTAAATTCCAGGTTTTTATTTTTCTTGAACTTACTGCACGACTATGCTAAATTCTGTATTAATTACAATCAACTGGAAAAGACTATAATGTTTATTTCAAAAGCGGTCATTTGACAGCCATCGGTAGAAATAGGTATATATAATATGTCGGTAGGTTTAGTGTTAAATATTAAGTAATAACAATTCGTAGGCATCGCGACGCTCAATTCTTCCGCACCTCTCAGGCCCCTGGCCTACCGTTGACGGGTATATAAACGGCGGCGTTTCGCGACTCGAGCATTCTATCACCTGAGCTAGCTAGGTTACCTTTAGTAAAGTAAACGAGCAAACCGTCTCGGGCAACCAGGCAAACCGTCCCACTTGACCATCATTTCTAGAGGTACTTCTACTCTTGTAATCAAGCAAACCATCTCGGGTAGGGAGCAAACCGTCTCTTCTGCCAGATAGAATGAATCTCTGCATTTCAGTTGGGCCGTCACTTTGATACACTTGATCATTGTGCCGTTTCCGCTACACATGCCATCCTAACTTTATCTAAGGACTTGTACAACTAGCTACTTTGCGAATGAGACTTCTCACCTTGCCAAGATAGCAACGTTGTTTTAGATAGGACCACGTCTACCTGTGATCAGGAGTTCCCTGATGGAAGACTGCTTAACAGCACGACGCTTATATTTTAACGAGTCAACTCTGTAATCAAACGAGAGTAGACGCACCTATTATTTCCGTTCCCGTCAGACATATCGTGTAGGTAAACCGCCTCTTACAATCATATTTATACAATGTACTTTCCGAACACTAATCATTTGTATATCTCATTTATAATCATTTTTACTTTCCGCTTACGTTGATATCTATTCTTTGCTTACTAACATCCAGCATTCTGTAGACTGGACCTGCACTAACCTTTATTGTATTCCGCTGTAGGACAATATATTTTTATTTTGTAATATGTAAAACAAAATCTCACTTTCATTTGTTCCGCCTGATATCTTTCCTAAATTCCTAACAGTCGATTCTGGCTCGAACCCGCCTTTT